GTCAGGAAGCGGAGCGGCACGGCTGTAGTGATCTCTGTGTGTGGAATGTTATGGAAACAAGCCCATATGTATCCGCCTGAAGAGAGCAACCATGACATGTCAGCCTCCATCTGCTGCACCCCGAGCTCTGCCATGTGAGTCAGCCCGGCTCTGACATGAGCAGTTCTGGTGGCCTACACACAGCTCGTAGGAAGAGGCAGGCTGCTGCTGGAGGGGGACATGTTTATTATTCCTTGGTTGGGACAGAACAGCCTCTACCACATTCTCAACTTCAGTCAGTTGGGTTATGGCTGACAGTCTACAGATGTATCCCAGGATCGCTCCATATTGTGTTTTGTTTAAAGAGGAGACTCCCCCCCCCCCGGATCATTTTACTCATAAAGCAGTGTGTTCCACTCAAAAGTGGAAGCTCACCCCCCCCCCTGCCATATTTGACACCTTTGGGGGGGGAGCAGGTAACTAGTTTTGATAGGTACCGTATCCGCTCCCACTGTCGGCTCAGTTTGCTGCAGAGAAGTGAGCTGGAAGTTCGGCCACCCTCCTTCCTCCCGCAGTCTCCTGGGAACTTTCACAGGTGCCAGAAGACTGCTGGACCAATCAGGATGCGCAGTGCGACTCGCGCATGCGCAGTGGGCCCCCGGCTGTGAAGCCGCAAACTGTCACAGCCTGGTGCCCACAGTTGAGATTCCGGCTCCCAGGAGATAAGAGGCAGAGAAGGGATGGAGCGGGTGAGTACATTGCTGGACTCTAGGACAGGTAAGTGTGTGTGTGTTTGTTAAAAGGCAGCAGCTACAGTTTTTGTCGCTGCTGACTTCTAATAAACACACAACTGACTGGAACTCCTCCGCTTTAACTGAAGTGTTACTAAACCCAGGACCCTGCATTCACTATATCTGGTCTCCCACAGTACATAGAACATGGAAATGATTTATTTCAGAAAATAAACTGCTAATTACCTTTTCTCATTAGCAGTTAGAGCAGTCTTGTGACTTCTATCAGTGTCCAGCAGAGCACATGTTAATGCTTGTAGAAAGAGTTTTTTTTTTTTTGCTCTAGGAGGATGCAGGACCTCTGACTTCAGTCTGTACAGTGCTGATGAGGTCCTGTTCTGATCACATGCACTCTCCCAAGAAAAAAAAAAAACAGCCTCTCTAGCAAAACAAACCAAACTGAGCATGTGCAGAGTGTCTACACAATGTTTTGTCAGGAGATATAAGGCGGACACTGGTAGAAGGAGAGGATCAGAGAAGTCAGGATCGAACAGCATTTTTAAACAGTGCAGAGGATTAACCCCTTAGGTCCCACAGTGAGTATGACAAGCATGCTTTACTGCATATACAGACTGATTTTATTGGTGTGGGTCTAGTAACACTCTAAAGACCGCCCGCCTGCAATGTACTGTGGATGGGCGGTAGCTACAGGACCAGCGACGCACCTGTATGTCACTGTGTCTTTCTGGGTTTGGATTGCACATGCGCATGCCCTCCCCCATCATTCACTGTAGGACATGTTTGTCAGCAGGTCCTGGCCAGTGATTTTTGACCCGCACTCTGCTGATCTCCTGCACCAAATGGAGAAGCCATTTGTAAATACAGGCACAGAATCTCACTGGATCTTCTCTCCCTGGAATCTTTTTGTTCCAGGGAGAGAAGAAAGACATACCACACATTAGTAAAACAGCACATTTGCACCCACACCATAGCTAGATGCATATTAACCCCTTAATTGCCATTTTGTTAACTCGTTGATTGCCCCCAGCTGTTCACCCCTTCATGCCCAGTGTCATTAGTACAGTGTCAGTTCTATTTATTAGCACTGGTCACTGTATTAGTGTCACTGGAGATGCCAGTGGCAGTTAGTTCCCACCCAGTGTAAGAATGCCTGCCGCAGTCCCACTATACTTCGCTGATCGCCGCCATTACCAGTATAAAAAAAAAAAAATTGGGGATGCACCAATACCATTTTTGTGTCGACGAGTACGAGAACCAATACTTTCAGTCAAGTACTCGCCGATACCGCGCACTGATACTTTGCGGTGTGATATGTGTTAATGGATGCAAAGAATAGCATATGATTAGAACAGGAATGTGATTCCTGTCCAAATCACACCTGGTTTCCCCACCGCTCCTGTGTGAACCCAGGCTTGTCACAGCCCAAGTTCACACAGGAGTGGTGCTGGAAACCTCCCTGCAGACATCCCATGCTTAGTGTCAGTGGTAGGAGAGAAGAGAAAACTGGGGGGATTTGAAATCCCCGCCGCTTTCTTTACTCTACTTACAGCGATGACAGTTCGGGCTAGACGGCATCTGATTGGTCAGCTGCTGATAAAAATCATGAAAATACTCTGTATCGGCAGCGGTGCATCTCTAATAAAAATTTGTTGACATAATTTTCATGTAAACCAGTTAATACACACTTATTGGGATTTTTTTTTTTTTTTTTACTAAAGACATGTAACAGAATGCATTTTGGCCGAAGTATATGAAAAAATTTAATTTAATTTTTTTTTATTGGATATGTTTTATAACAAAAATTCAAAAATAGAATGCAGAGGTGTTCAAATACCACCAAAAGAAAGCTCTATTTGTGGGGAAAAAATGACATAAATTTCATTTATGTACAACGTTGCATGACTGCGCAATTGTCAGTTAAAGTAATGCAGCAGCATATAAAACAAATTTCCTTGTCATGAAGGCGGGTAAATCTTTTTTGGATGGCAAGTGGTTAAAGTATAACTAATGGCAATATTGTGTCTTCATTTTGGATAAGCCCTATCAGTTTATTTTGCCATATGTGTCCCATTGGGGAGATGTCCCATATCCAAAACAAGAAGTGAGAGGAAATCCCTGGTTGTCACCAGGCCTAGTGCCCCAATTGTAAGATATCCCCACTGTACCTGTTGTGGGGACAACCCAAAATTAGTGATTTTCTTTTACTTTCACTATAATATAACAGTAAATAGGACAAATAGAAAGGGTGAATCTTCCTAATGGGGACATAAATAGCAATAAAAACCTGACAAATGGCAGAACTAAAGTCAAATACTTTTTAAAAAAAATATATTTTGTATAGAGTAAGGGAGGGTTATAACTCCTGTCTGGTTTTTTCTGCAATCTCTGTGCCACTGGGGAGATTTCCCTCACTTCCTGTCCCGTAACCACAACAGAAAGTGAGGAAATTCCCTGGTAGTCACCAGAACTAGTGTCCTCATTGGAAGAATTCTCTTCTATTCCTGTTCTGGTGACAACTTACAATTGGGGGTTTTCTTTCACTTTCACTCTCAATGATAATGGTAAACAGTACAAATAGAATACATAAAAACCTGACATGTCGTCTAATCCCTCTGAACTCTGTCCAAACCTAAAAGAAAAGTTTTGCCTTTCGTTATACTGTAACCATCTCCCAACCGTGCCATAGCTAAAAACAGCTACACCGCGGTCGTCTAGTTCTGGGAGGGAGTCTATATACGTCCCAGAACCCCACATCTCTGCAAGCCCCCAGGGCATGCATCGGGCTTGCTCTGTAGTCGCGGTGTCCTTTGGACACAGCTGATCACAGGTTGAGGTAAAGGACAAACACAATGACACTTTATCATGTGATCAGCTGTGTCCAATCACAGCTGATCACACGTAAACAAATATACCAGTTATTGGCATTTCCTTTCCACATGCGCTGTCACTGTGTGAAGAAAGGAAAACCGATACCCTGCAATCCTGACAGCACACATTTATACTGATAATCAGTGCACATCAGTGAAAATTACTTATTTGCAAAATTTTATAACCTAAACTAAGAAAAACCTTGTTTTTTTTTTTAAAAAAAATGTTAGTTAAAAAAAAATATAAAAAGTTTGTTTGGGTACAGTGTTGCATGATCGCGCAATTGTCACTCAAACTGCGCCAGCGATGAAAGCTAAAAATTGACCTGGGCAGGAAGGGGGTGAAATTGACTAGTATTGAAGTGGTTAACGAGATGGGCCGAACTGCCCTTATATGGACACATGACGAAAATGATTATTAATAAACAGCATTTATGTAGCACCAAAGGTTTGCACAGCACTTTGTCAATGTCATTGATTAATGTAGGCATTTTCCCTTTATAAGGGCATTGATGTCACCAGCATCATGCCCCTTTGTTTATGTATGCTGGAAGGCAAGAAACAACCCAGCTTGCAGCTGTTTGCATTTAAAGCCTAACTTCTGGTTTTTGTGAACTTTGTATAGTTTGTTTGAACCATGCACTAACTCTTGCATCAGCTGTTTGCAGTACACAGCGCTGTGTTAAGACAGCAGTACGGGAACCTTCCATCCTACTCCTGGAACAAAAAAAGAGTCGGTCTGAGTGCTGCTCATCCATTGACAGACAGCCTTGTGTTTTTTGAATGAATACAAGTCTTCCTGTGACTGGAGGTGGAAAGGGGAGCGCATGATGTCATGATCTCCACCTCAGCCAATCAGAGGTAGCTTTGTAAGCATTCATAAAACACAAGGCCTCGTGTGAATGGCTGGGCAGTGCTCATCTCAACTCGGTTTTGTTTAAGGAACAGTACAGGAAGTCTCCTTCCTGCTGCCAGAACACAGCTCTGTATGCTGATGCTACATACAGTTCATACAATGCTGACAGTTACTGCATCTGTTAGTGGAAAAATAGTTTGGATCAGCTTGGTCCATTGAACTATGAGGGGCGTTCAAGTCAAACTGGGACTTTTGAGTTTATATAATAAAAGAACAAATTTCAAAGAGTGGAAGCTGCATTTATTTTTCAACATGCTCCCCTGCTACATTTATACACCTATCCCAGAGTGTTACCTATACCAGATTTGTCAGTATGCCTGAACCATCCTTGGACAGCCTGTTTAACTTTGTCATCATTGTGTTCATCATTCCCACAGAAAGATTTGTCTCTTGTGCAATTTTATGACAGGTTATGAGTCGATAACAGTCCTGCATTGTACTTGAGGAAGTAAAGGGTCAGTCCATATGCTAGGACATTGGAGAGCT